GAAGCGTGTATGAAGACTTTTTCCCACAGTTAAAAATTTTAACATAGAGAAAAGTGACTTAAAAATTAAAATGAAAGGATTATGCCTAATGAAGCAGATTTTACCTCAGTGAAATAATTGACTGAGGTAATAGGTCGTTACAGAACATACATTTTGTAGCGCGAGATATTCTATATTCATTCAATTTGAATAAAGATGTATAAAAATAATGTAATTACCTCATTAATCCACAAATTATTAATTTTAATTATATTGCACAAATAATTTTTTTCATCAAAATGCAATTAATGTGTTGGACGATTTAAAACATTTTTTAAAAGGTTACAAGGTTCGTGTGCCAACTCTACATTCTCAAATCAATAATTCACATTCCACATTGACTGAGTAGTCTTATAATGTGAAATTAAGTAATAGACTTCCGCGCTTAATGTAAAACTGAATATGTTTCTCGCCTTCAAGTCATATGATGCTTTTTTAGTTTCATCATTCATCAAATCCTTTGGAGATTTTACAGGGGATACACCATCGACATCACTTTTAGGGATAAAAGATGCATATGTGATAGCTACCAAAAACATTTTATCTAAGTGATCATACATTATCCTCCTAACACACATAGTTTTCACCTTTAAAAATAAGAGCTCTATTGTAAGCACCCTCCAAATCATCGTTACCCTCACATTCTCAACTTTTAGAGTCCAAAACTTGAACAAAAGACCAATTGTTAAGGAGAATATGAGCTCGAATGACCTAAAAGGAGAGTTGAATATATCATTACCAAATAGGCCAAAATAAAAACGTTTGTTTTTTAAAATCAGAATTTTATGAAATCGCTCGGTGTAGCGGAGTATGTACCACAAATACAATTGGAATGATTGTATCGTATACACTTAAACGCAAAAATAAAATGAACGAAAGATAAATAAGCTATAGAAATCAATACTTCAATTAATATAAATTCATTTTACATGAGATGTGTAAATCAAAGTTAATAAATTGATTAAGAAATCTATGAATATAATTTTCAATTTTAATCACAAGTAAGATCGTTCAGAATCTTGATCAGACATAATTTTATGCAAGAAATCGCTATGAAGGCGGTAAAACCAAACAACATGTAATTTCTAAGAAACGATAAATTCTTAGCATATGATTCTAATACGAAATCTAAAACAGAAAGTGAAGAGAGAATACACCTAATTTATAGTGATTCAACACCATCGTCCTTGTCTTATGCCTAGTCCACTCTCCAATGGTATCCTATTAAAAATTCATAGTCTTCCACTATGATTTGACAATTGTTTTACATAGTATTTTAATACAATCACAAGATTTAAGATAAAGCTGAAAAATTAACCAATATCCAATATGAATTTTTTTTTCAAATGTATACATAGCTTGAAACTAATCTCTATAAGATCTTCACTCGATCTTGACTTCCACCTTTCAGATTCAAGAATTCTGCTCCAAGCGTCTATTGGGCAATAAATTCTCCTGATTCCTATTGGATCCTATCATTACACTTTTCATACAATACTATCAAAACAATAAATCTCAACCATAACCACACAAGAACTACAAAACTGAAATCTTCAAACCTTCATAAAAAGTTAAAACCAAACGAACCTCCTTACACAAACATCACATCCAAGGTTGAGAAGTTAAACCTAAACGACAATGATAGAAGCTAGATGTTGAAGATAAAGTAAAATTTAAAATGTAATCTCAAAATAAAAACTTAAAATGATTCTAAAATCATATGCATGTTGTGAGAGAAATTGAGAGAAAATGATTTACATATATGCTGGAGATATTACACAAAAATGATAGATAATACCCATTTGATTCTAGTCAAGAGTAGATGGCTTGGTTAGATTCAAGTGAGTGAATGATTTGAATCAAGAACTAAAATTTAAAAAAACTGCATATATGACTCGAATCAGATTATTTCATGATTCGAGTCAGACAAGTCCATGATTCTATTCAAAAATACATAACCAAAATCCAAAATCTATATGTAATTTTTTTATTCGAGTCATGCCATTATGAAATTTGAATCAAGACCTATATGATTAAAGTCAAGCTTTTGTATGATTCAAATTAGAAATACAAAAGAAAAATCCAATTTTTAGATTCAATTTTTTGATCCGAGTCAGACTTTTCATTATTCGAATACAAAATCAATTTATGATTTTCACATTCAATTTTTTATCCGAATAAGCCATTTATCTGATTCAAATCACACTTTAAAAAGTTCAAATTTTAATAAAAGTGATGTGCTTATTTGAGTCGAGACTTGACACGATTTGAATCATGCTTTCATGTGTTTTTTTGACCCAAAACTCAGATTGACTAGAACCATATTACATCGAATTTAAGCAAATAGTTTGATTTATGCATACGTAAAAACAATTTAGCACTTAACCCTAAAATGCGTAATATATGTGAGGAGCCTCAATTGTGACAAACAAATCAAACACTTAAATTAACAAACAACAAAACATAAACCAGAGCAAACCCTAGGAAGTAAGGCAACTTTAACATTTCTTGAACCTCTTTTTGGTCCTTAAAAAGAATGAAGAACATGAGACGCACATCACACTAGCTGACAAATGCACTCGAGGAATCTCTTAAATAACAATGACCCAAACCATCAGACTGAATTTTGTTTCAGCTCCAAACAATTGATATCGAACTTCCGGAAAAAACAATTTTACCCCAGATCGAAGGGCTCTATTGAGTATCTATGACACTAGAAAACAAGTCATAATCTGACCTTTTTAGCTAAGGAACAAGGACCCACTCTTTGAGATTGAGTCGATGTCTAACTCACATTATATTGAGTCATCGGGTTTTAGGAGATAAAACTGTCCCAAAGATGGTCAAACCCATGCAATTCACCTAAATAAAAATGACAAACGTCAAAGGAATGAAAAATGGTAAAGTCAATAAGATTGTCTAACACATGCCCTATGAGTCAAGTGTCTCCAAAGAACATTTGAGGACCTTTGAATCAGTAAATGGTAGCATCTTAGAAATACACGTAATCAAAGTTGATTAATAATTAATACGCTATCAAAAGCCAAAACTTCAATGATCTTCTAACATTTGTCCTCTAGGTCAAGTGTCCTCAAATAATGTATAAGATTTTTAAACTCTATATGACAACTAAAAGTCACATAAATAACTTAAAACCTAGTACATCTAACACTTATATTTATAATCACTATTGACTTGATCGTCAAGGTGTTTGTAGACACCGCTGGGCACAATATATCAAAGACTCGCATACCAGAGTTCTTCATCGCCATGATCGTCAACAATTAAAAATAAAAATCATATGGGAGAAAATTTCATCATATCCATCCATTTTATGATTTCTAATCACCAATTATAATGAATGAGTACATATGATTATGTATTTTGAAGAGATTAATGCATTGGATTATAACTATGATTGACATTTACTAGTAGTACAATACAATCTTTGTCTCTTTTTTTCCTCTCCCTTAAACTCCCCCTTAATAAAGAATGTCCATTCGTGCTCACGGTTTGATTGCTTCATTCTCTTTCACTTTATTTTCGGTCCCGGATCTGGCCCCAGCAACCTCAAACGTTAACACCAAATTAATCATTCTTTTGGCGTCATCATCAGTTGCTGGTGGGTGGAATATCTCTCTCTACACTTTCTTTTTTTATGAACTCGAAGCTTTTCCAGTAATCTAGCTCCAACTCAATAGATTAGGAGAGAGAAACTTTTGATAGCAACACTTTATTGGAGTAATTTATTTCTCTCATCTTTATAAATATCTTCTTCTTCTCTTCCACTTTTGCTTCCTACCTATTCAAACATCTCCATTTTTTTCTCTTCTTTTTCCTTCACTTTCTCAACTTATTTTTTTCAGTGTTTCTATTCCTAGGGTTTCATTTTGTTCAGTTCCCGAGGAGTTTTACTTTTAGTTCTATCTTGTGAATTTCTGCTGCAAATTAAGAGGTTTTTTTCATCAGATCTACACTACACATTGGAGTCTTTACCTTCTAAGGAAAGCAAATCAAGGTTATTATAATTACTCTAATACTTTAAAATTTCTCTTGATTATGTATGTTGATTTTATATATGGTATATATTATTAATATACTATATAATATATATAGTATAAATCCAAATTAAATGGACTAATAAACCTAAGTAAAGTCAAATGCTAATTAAATGCTATTTGGGGTATATATAAGATCTTTGACCTGACTATCATGTCTGTGTGTTTTGTTGGAGTTTATTGTCTATCAACACCTAATGTTAAATCATGCTGTCACTTTTCCCTGTTTGTTCCTTTTTGTTTCACACCAGACAATATTAATTAAGCTCTTTCCATGCCAAATATATTGTTTTATATGCATGATATATATATTTTTAAATGTTTGAATAATTTTGCCTCAACACTCATATCTTCAAATATTCTTTCGGTTCACTTTCTGATCGAGGTAATAAACGACCGTTTGTTTTTTACTTTGATCAGTAATCTGTGTTGTGAAATATGACACGCTTCAGACAACCAATTAATGAGAAAATCTTTTTTTAACCGATGTGATAAGTGTTTAATGGAGTAGTGATCGTCTAATACCTATTTATTTTTTTTATTAGACTAATTAAATGTTTGGTATATCCTATAAAGTTGATTAAACTTATTCATGCTTTGCATCATTGCATTGTGAAAAAGAGCCTTCTCTTTTGTGTGCTACAAGTTTAGTTTGTCTTTTTTCTTTTTAAGGAAAATAAAGTTAACAGATATGTGTCTACTAATATATATGGAGTGTCCTTTACTATTGCTATTTTCTTTTCCATTTTTTTTCAAATAAATTTATTTATTTACAAAAAATGGAAAATGTAATTGATTATGAATTGCATATAATCAATCACATCACATTACAATGTAACCTTATTGTGTTGATTTTTCAAATTTTACCACAAATATTTGCATGCATGCAGGTTCAATTTGAATATGAACAATTTCTCACACGTACCTCCTGGATTTCGCTTTCATCCCACTGATGAAGAACTTGTTGATCACTACCTTAGGAAAAAGATAGCTTCAAAAAGAATTGATCTTGATATCATTAAAGATGTTGATCTCTATAAAATTGAGCCATGGGATCTACAAGGTACATACTTCATTATTTCTATACAGCAATGATTCAGATTTGATCTACAAGATACTAATATTTGTTACTTTCTTTGTGTTGAGATTCAGAGTTATGCAAAATAGGAAGTGATGAACAAACTGAATGGTTTTTCTTTAGTCATAAAGACAAGAAATATCCAACTAGTAGTCGTACAAATAGAGCTACAAAAGCAGGATTCTGGAAAGCTACTGGAAGAGACAAAGCAATATATTCTAACAATATTTGTCTGATTGGAATGAGAAAGACTCTAGTTTTCTATAAAGGAAGAGCCCCTAATGGACAGAAATCTGATTGGATCATGCATGAATATCGCTTAGAAACTAACGAAAATGGAACTACACCTCAGGTAATAATAATACTAATAAGCACATCGTTAAAATATTTTCAGGGTTTGGTCTCGTGGTGAATGTTTGAGACCTAAAAATGTGTTTTTGTTTAGGTTTCATGTTTGAATATTGCAGATGCTAACAATTCATGTGTTAGGCCGATTCATACAGAGCTTTATTCTGACTGACTTTAATAGGGTTTCCGACTAATAGTATTAAAATTTTCAGGAAGAAGGATGGGCTGTGTGTAAAGTGTTCAAGAAAAGAATAGCTACAACAATGAGGAGAATGGATGAGTCACCATGTGGATATGATGATCAAGTATCATTCATGCAAGAGCTTGAAACACCAAACCGAGTATTTTCTTCTCATTCTTATGCATCTTACCAACAACATCAACAACAACATCAGCAACACTATCCTTGCAAACAGGAGTTGAATCAATTGCAATACAATATATCCATCAATGATGCTAACAATTTCCTCCAACTTCCACCACTAGAAAGCCCTAAAATTCCTAATTTGCAGTGCTCATCATCATCACATTCAATAACTCATCAAGAACAACAATACTATAGCCAGCACCAGCAACAAAGTATGCAAATGCTTTATGGTGGTAGCAATGATTTACAAGCAGTAGTGGAGCAATCAAAGGATTGGAGAGTATTTGACAAACATGTTGCTTCTCAGCCAAGTCATGATCAAGGAGCATCCAAGGAAACATTAACTAGTTATTGCAATATTGTGGCCGAACAAATTGCTTTGCTAGCAAACGAATCTAAAAAATCTGAAACTCATGAGCAGGAATATGCTACTTCAACTTCCAACTCCAGTTGCCAGATTGATACATGGAAGTGAAGATCTATAACTATATACGAAGATGCATATAATTGATATACTATATAATGTAATATAGGGAGTAGTATTATATACAGCTTAACTCCTGGAAAAATAAGACAGATATTAAAAGGGTATATTGTTCCAAATTCCATGTTTGTGTACATATATATAGTAAACCCTTTATTGTTTTTTTTATACTAAAACCTTTAAGTATTGTTATATAGTAAATACTCTTATCAATTGGAACAATTTTTTTTTTTTGTTTGTTAACTTTAAATTATACTGTACCAGAACTAGCTATGGGAATTATATTGTAATTCGCTCGTCACTTGATGATGTGTATTGCAAAATCATATTTATTAATTCTTTTTAATACAAGTCAATTATACTCTTTCTATTTTAAAATGACAATGTTATAAAGTTTTTGTACATAGATTAAAGAATGTAATAATATTGTTATAATATATTATACTTTTATTAAATTAGTCTTATTAATGTGTTGAAAATAGTGTATAGAGTAATAATTATATAACACAAATGAAAAAATAGCAATTATTACTAAATTGAAAAATGAGAATGACATTCATTTTGAAACAAAATTTTTCTCCTAAAACGGCAGCCATTTTGAAACAGAGAGAGTAATATATAAGTGAGTATAAAATGTACTCTAATCCATTACAAGCATGGTAAAGCCTAAAAACGGAAAGGAATGTTAGCAAGAAATTTGAGTATATACAAGATTTCTAATTAGTGGTGGTTCTCTTTCGATTTGGTGTAGTTTAAAAGGGAGATCACTCTTTTCCATTTTAGGTTTGGGTTTTCTTAGAGTTTGTTAAGAATGGGGTGCATCGAAGTTGACTTGCTTTGTGGTCAATGTCTACTCCAAGCCCTTGTTAGCTGACAAAAGAAGTATGCAGGATGATCTTTGTCGACGTAAGTCTATCTTTCGAGATGACAATTGGTGTGTGTTTGGTGATTTCAACTTTATCGGTCACCCTAGTGAGAGGCGAGGTAGTGACAACTACTCGAATCCCTTAGGTCTTGGTGAATGTATTGCTTTTTCCTTCTTCATCTCTTAGATGGAGCTGTTGGATCATCCTCTATTGGGCAAGAAGTTTACCTGGTTCCAACCTGATGAAGGGGTTGTTAGTAGATTTGATAGGATTCTGATTTTTAGTGGTTGATGGGGTTATTGGGGAACAATTACTAAGTGGATTTTTTGAGAGATATTTTAGATCATTGTCCTGTCATTGTGAAGTATGACAATCAATTATACGGCCTTAAACCGATTTGGTTCAACAACCATTGGTGTTCCCACCTTGATTTTTTTTAGTTGGTTCTTAATTCTTGATTGTATTTTCCTAATCAATATTGGAAGACCTTTGTCATTTTGAGAAAACATAAATCTCTAAAAGCTAACCTTAAGAGTAGGAACAAACAATTTTTTGGTAATTTGGACTTCCAAATCGATTTTTATAAAGCTGTGGATAGTAATATGGATTTAGAGGCCAACCAAAAGGTAATATCTGAAGAGGATGTGAGTTTTAGGTCTAAGGAAGTTCTTGATTTATGGGTTTTAATTAGGGTTAAGGATGCCTAACTTTTTCAAAAATCGAGAGTCCAATGCTTAAGGAAGGAGATGTTAACTCAGGTTTTTTTCCATGTTTCAATTAAGAGTCAAGAAGAAGGAATTCAATCTTAGCTCTCAAAGTGGTGGATAATTAGATTGAAGGGGTGGATGATATTTGTCAGGAGGTCTTTAGTTACTTCTATGATTGATTTAAAGAGTCGATGCTTAAAAGACCTAATGTTGAGAAAGAGCCATTTAAACTGATCTCCTTAGAGGATAATTTGGACTTAACCTCTCATTTCTTCCTCTAATAACTCGATGGAGTTGTGTTCTAATGTAATAGGAACATGATTTCTAATCCTTATGGTTTTAATTTTCTTTTTTCAAAAGACTTTGGAATTTGCTAAGAAAAGAGGCATGCTTTAAGTTTTCTGAGTTTCATCGCTTTGCATCCATACCTCGTAGCTTTGCCTCTTATTTTGTGACTCTTATTCACTATGCCAAAACAGACCTTTAGCAGCGCTTTTTTTGACCTTTAGAAGCGCTTTAAAGCGCTGCCTAAAGTGGCGCTGCTAAAGGTAAAGGCAGCGCTTTTTTTGTGGAAAAAGCGCTGCTAAAGACATCACCTTTAGCAGCGCTTTTTTACCCCTTTAGCAGCGCTTTTTAAAGCGCTGCCTAATCTCCCCCCCTCCCCCCCTTTAGCAGCGCTTTATTAAAGCGCTGTCTTAGACCCCCCCTATAGCAGCGCTTTATGAAAGCGATGTCTTAGACCCCTCTTTCCCCACCTATAGCAACGCTTTTTTAGCAGTTTCTCTGTCCCCTTTAGCAGCGCTTATACATAAAAGCGCTGTCTAATGTGCACGTTTTGAAAAAAAAATTTTCCTGATTAATGACATTTTTTATATATTTTTCAATAAACCTGCTTATATTACAATACTTGCTTATATAATTTAGCCCTTTATTTCAGCACTTTGGCTTTATATACACAATTCAACACTTTGGCATTATGTGCACAATTCAACACTTTGGCATTATATGCACAATTCAACATCACAAATTATATACAATTCCACTTTAATATATATAATTCAAAAGCTTCACAATTCAACATCACAAATTATATACAATTCTCAACTCGAAATTCAACATCACAAATTATACAATTCTACTTTAATTTCTTCCAATCTTTATTGTTGGCCATAATATACCTGTAATTCAGGAAAACTAAAGTATCAAATGAATGACATTCAAATATGTAAATAAGAAATATATATATATACACACATAAGAAACGTATAAATAAGAAATAATATGTTATTTTATTGAATGAGACAATATGTAATTTTACAAGTACCTTTAACATCTTTTTCTTTTTTTAGTTCAAAGGTGCTTTACTTGTCTCTTAACAACACGGACGGATGGATTGATCCAAATTCCCTCGCTATGATCATTTCTAATATATGATTCGTCTGCTATAATATTCTCATCTGGATCATCCCTAACATAAGATTCATTCTCAACATCAACCTCCCCCTTTTCTCCAATGTTATCGTTGATTACTTTGTTGGAAAAAAGAACTATAAACCATTTCGTACTTTTCGGATCAGTGACATAGAACACTTGTTTAGCTTGTGTGGCTAGAATAAAAGGCTCATCTTTGTACCCCACCTTATTAAGATCCACTTGCAAAAAACCTGACTTATCCATACGTATGCCACTATTACTTTCAACCCACTTGCATCCAAAGATAGGAATCTGAAACTTCTCATAATCAAACACCCAAATGCGCTCGATTACCCCAAAATACGAGGAAATGTGCATTGATTCGGCAAGCACAGTGACACCACTATTTTGCATTGTACTTTTATCATCTTGCTCCTTGGTATAAAATGTGTATCCATTAATTGCGTATGCGCTATAAGAAAACACATGCAAAGTTGGACCATATGCTAAACATCTCAACCTTTCTGTTATTGAAGCGGGATCAGAATAAAACTTTGAATAAATATGCTCTTTGAACCATGTTATAAAACTTCGATTGTGCTCACGTACTATCCAATTTTCATTTCTATTCAGATTTAAACCTCGGAGAACGTCCTTGTGCAATTTAACGTACTGCTCAACCTCAATGTCATTGTGCAGAACATATAAATGCACTTGCTCCCGTTCATCCCTTGAAACTGTCACAACTTTATTTCCAATTAATTGTTTACCTACTACTTTTTCAACAACATCAGATTTTGGGAGGCCAATGGATTGAACGTTGGACAAATATTCAGTACAAAACTCAATAGCTTCTTCAACAATGTATCGTTCAACAATACATCCCTCTGGTCGACTTCGGTTTTTCATATACCCTTTCAATATTTTCATATAACGTTCAACTGGATACATCCATCTCATATATGCAGGTCCACACAGTTGTGTCTCTTTCACGAGATGCACAACTAGATGTACCATTATGTCAAAGAATGACGGAGGAAAATACATTTCAAGCTCACACAAAGTAATAATTATATCTTTTTGCAATGTTGGTAAGATCGCAGGATCGATCACCTTACTACAAATAGATCTGAAAAAGAAACACAATTTTGTTATTGCGCCTCTCACTTTTCTGGCAAAATAGAACGTATACCTATTGGTAGAAAGTGTTCCATAAGAACATGACAATCATGTGTCTTTAAACTCTTTAACTTTAGGTCTTTCATAGAAACAAGTCTTCTAATATCTGAAGAGTATCCTTCTGGAACTTTAACTTCACTCAGAAACTTACACATTATCTTTTTCTCCTTTTTAGACAAAGTATATGCAGCAGGTGGTAGATAAGTGCGATTTCCTTTCTTCTGGGGTCCTAATTCATTTCTTATTCCCATTGCTACCAAGTCTTTTCTTGCTTTAAGGCCATCCTTAGACTTTCCTTGTATATTGAGTAACGTACCAATAACACTTTCAAATACATTTTTTTCAATATGCATAACATCAAGAAAATGTCGTACATACAACGACTTCCAATACGGCAACTCAAACAAAATTGACCTCTTCTTCCACCCACGCGTGGTAAGCGTATGAGCAAAAGGCTTGCCAAACTGAGTACTCACATCTTTCACCTTTGCAAAAATTTGATCGCCGGTCAATGTAGGTGGTGCTCTACGTTGTTCTGAATTTCCATTGAATTCTTGTCTCCACCCACGGTACTGATGATTAGAACTTAAGAATCTACGATGACCAAGAAAGACATTCTTCTGACCAAATTCCAACCGCGTCCAATCTGTGTTTTCTTCACAGATAGGACACGCACATTGACCTTTAATGCTATACCCCGATAGATTTCCGTATGCTGGGAAATCATTAATTGTGCCACACAACATGGCCCTCAAATTAAAACTTTCTTTCCTATATCCATCATAAACCTCCACACCGTTCTCCCACAAACTTTTTAAGTCTTCGA